AAAGCAAACAATACAGTTAGTTTTATGTATTTTGAATGAAATTCTACAGCTAGGGGTACAGTGAAGGGTCCAGACAGGGAAAGTAATGATTTATTATTATACTAATGGAAGACATGCACAATTTACAAAACAGAGCATTAGAGTTTTAGAGACATACATGTACATGTACACAGTACTTGTAGCTTATACTTTCTATTTCAAAGCAAATTATCTATTCACTACAATTCAATCAAAGATTTAAACTTGCTCATTTATAATTTCCTCTCTCTCTTCCCCCCTCTCTCTCTCCCTCTCTCTCCCTCTCCCTCCCTCCCTCTCCCTCTCTCTCTCCTCCTCCTCCTCCCCCTCTCTCTCTCTCACCTCCCAGTCTTGTAGTTCATCGACTTTGAAATAAAACAACAAGTTCCCTTTCAATCTGAACCATCTCTGACGATAACCTGCAAGAGAACAACAACAACAACACGACACAAAAAAGACACCCCTCATATTTATAAATTAATACACCGTTCATCAGTAATCATATAATTGCAACATATCAGCAGTAGCTAATGCAATTTCAATAGGAACAGAGGAACAAATACAATTAATGTTAAAATTATGAACATGTACAAAATGGTACATGCATAAGTATCCATGTACAAGGATGAATGTACATGTACATGCAGTAAAGCAATTATACTAATGTACAATAATGATCGTAACTTAAAGCAAATTAGTTAAAAGGAAACCAATTAAAATAAATTGATTTATCAATAACAAACAGGTCCCGCAAGCAAGTCACATGCAAATGTATGCATGCACGTATGTATACATGGAGCAAATGGAAAATAACAAAAATAACAATAATAATGAGACTGTTATGCAAATGGAAAATCCCAAGTCAGGGCTAAATCACACAACAGAGATTGATAAAAGAAGGACTATAGATACAAGTACAAGTACATGCAATTACTTAATAGATACACACATAAGCTTATGAAAGTAGTATAGTACACATAAATGAAGAAGAGTAACGCGGTGGACTAATGGCTACTAAGGAAATACCTTGACCCCTGACTGCTCCTTTCTTTTCGAGGAGTCCTTCTTTGTCAGGCTTGATGTTAATGGCGTAATAGGAGAGCTCCCTCTCATTGAAACGGATGGAGGACCTGTACATGTTCCCAGGCCGGCAGGCCCTCTTGCTATTAAGGGACCAGGAGCGAGAGGAGAGCTGAGAACAGTGAATGCAAAAAGGCGATGACTACCGATGAGTGGGTGGAGTAGATACACCCATTCATCAAAATTTAAATTGTATACCTACCCACGTGTAATCACGTGTCTCTCAAAACCTGCTATTGTGGAATGTGGATAGGGACATTTGTAAAATCAGGACAGTAGCATCAGTCCCACTACGATATACATTAATGAACCTCTTAAATAAGGACACTTTCATAATCAAGACAGTATTATTGGGTCCCGAATAGACAGGTTCAGCTAAATTTTATCTAATTGTCTAATTGTAGTTCACTGCAGATTCAAGTTAGTCTCATGTAGCTAGATTTAACCTTGTTAATTCAACTTCATTTATATAATACTGTAATTAACTATATATTTACATGTATAGATCTACATCTAATTTTTCATCATGCATTACTTCTCAATTTACAATATTAATGTACTTTTTATTGGGAAAGAAGAATGGAGGCTAAAATCCATACAACAATGAGGTGGAAGTTCCCAATGATAAGGCCATATATCCAATGGAACTTGATGATGCAAGTGACTTTGATTTCCACTGAATGACTGAAAGGAAAATAGGATCAGTTTCTTCAGAGAAAACAAATATTGTCATTTTGGAAAGGTCAGTTAGTACCATTAAAACTGCTGGACTCATTTCTACCTTTGTCCCTCAATACTTATACTTACACTATCAGTGGGATTGAAGGATTATACTGATATATAACAGTAGCCTGTTACAATAATTAATTTAATTCTGGAGGGATATGCAATGGCCTGGAGGTGTAGTATTCCCCGACATTGTCATCATAATTGCATTGGTGGTGCACCATGATTAATCGATGTATGTTGTTCAAGAAGTTTCTTTGATGGAGCAAATAACTGAGAACAGTACTGGCACTTAAATGCTTTTGTCACGGTGACACTATAAAACCATAGATATTAGAGACTACGTAAGGTACTATATTAGCTAGATTTAACGTACTACATAATATATTACAACTATTCGTCATCACTGGGTTATGCAAGAAAATTCACCAGTTTCAAAGGTTGTTTCTGACTTTCCCTGCCTCAAGGATCCAAAATTGGTAAAAAAGATATTTTTGACAGATTTACTAACAAATTTTATTTTAACAGCTTATTAGTGAATTTCATTCTATTGTTAAAGTTGATGCTTCAAAAATGTTTGTCAGATGTAAGAGATTATTACAATATGCTGCTATGGAAACTAAAAAGGACGTAAAAAACCTTATGAAGCAGTATTTATCAATTTTAGAACCAACAGAAAGTAAAAATTAATTGTTTGTTTTCCTAATTATTATTTTAATTCAAAATAAGATCAAGTTATATCTTATTTAATGGCTGTGGCTTCATCTTTGTGTATGCAGAGGGGGAAAGGAAAACCTGCCTTGTTCATACCTATACATGCAGGTATTAACAATTTTTTTTGCTGAATGTTAACATTGTATTACCTTGTTTTGTATAGGATCAGTTTATTGATGTAGAACATGTAATTGCTGATGTTAAAGTGTGTTATATGGTTGTATACTGGCATTTGGTGAATCTGTAGTGTCATTGAATGAGTCCAAGGTGGTCATTGAAAAAGACAACATATTTCAGATGCCATCTCTACTTACAGCTGTTGAATGTTCTTGTACTATGTCTTCAAAATTGAATTCCATAATAATAACAAAGGATTTTGTTTACTACTTGAGTATCTATATGGATTGGATGCATCATCAAAAAACATGCCACTATAGTTGTTCATCAGCTAATTAAAGGGTTAATTGAGTAAATGACTTTAAGACTTTGACTAAAGACTCATTTTTGATACATTTATGATCATTTAATCAACATAATACACTGGCGTCATTAAGGACTTTTTGCTGCAGGTATTATAGTTAGTTGCTATATATAATTTAATGATTATTACTAAGTATGATTATTATGCTGACATTAAGCTTTGTGTGTCTAAATTAAATCATATAGATGATTAAATTTATTAAAAACAATTAATAGAGTCTAGTTCTTTTTAAGGTTATGACAGAGCTTCAACAATAAAATTTAACTATTTTTTAATATAGCTCTGCTAATAACTCCACTATTTGGCTCTGATCATGCATTATGTGAGACAAGTCCAAAATACTATTGCAGTGAGAAATTCTAATGTATAGGTGACACCAACCCCGGCTTCAACCTTCTAGTCAACCTTCGTCTAGAAAATGCAAATGAGATGATTATAACAGCCAAAATCTCAGTAGATCTACTCGTGCCCAGCATGAGGCTAGCTAATAATATTAATCATATTAGGGGGCTAGCACACCATGATTAATCGACTCGCTCGTAGATTATAGATATGACGCGGAAGGGTCGGGAGGGGCTGGCTACGCGAGACGACTATATCTTTTTTGCCTGCAGTCTCTACAGTCAAGACGAAGTTGTACACAAACGCGTCCCTCGCTCAGTCTTGATTCAGTGCTTGTAACTACAATGGAGCCTAAAGAGGAAAGCAAAGAAAGGGTGGATTTGATGGATAAACTGCATGCATATCTAGAAAAAAATTTTGTTGCTCTTATTGGCCGAACAGTAGAAGTAAATACAAACATAACACGATAGTGCCTTATTATAAATGATTAAGATTTCAATAGATGAATTGGAAAATCCTCAATTTGTACCTGCACCTGGTGCTAATCCGCCAAGTAAATCATACTCATATAGTCATGTTAACAAATAGAATACTTTTTATTTTATATTGACAGCCTATCAAGTTCCTGCAAGTCTTGCTGGGTTTTGGATTAATGAGCTGGGTTCACAAATGTACATACATTCAGCAGGCTTTTCAGAAGGGCATATTATTGGAAAGTATTACAGCCCTGTTGGAAAAGCTGGATTCAAACTATATGATTTGAATGGCTCGTATGATACAAATGGTGATGAAAAGAAGGGTACTTTGGGCTGGTAAGCAAATCATTTAAAACATGCATGTCTAATTGCAGTCGGTCATGTCATAGGACAGTTCAATGGCTTAAAACTGAAAATAACTCCAATACATCTTGGTCTGGGCAGCGGTATAAAATAGGGGGAGATTTTTTCATCTACACCATGTGGATTTTGGTTGCACAGAAAGACCTAAGTAATAATTGGGATTCCACTAGAATTGGAAAGGACAAGTTCCACAAAGTCCACTGATGCATGGGTTTGCTAAAGCAAACAACATTAACTTTTGAACTATTAGTGCTGTTTACATAGAACTAACTTAAAATTTTCTTTAGTGTAATTATTATTAAGGAGTTTTTGCTGCAGGTATTATAGTTAGTTGCTATATATAACTTAATGATTATTACTAAGTATGATTATTATGCTGACATTAAGCTTTGTGTATCTAAATTAAATCATATAGATGATTAAATTTATTAAAAACACTGAATTAATAGAGTCTAGTTCTTTTTAAGGCTATGACAGAACTTCAACAATAAAATTTAGTTATTTTTTCTTTATATAGTTCTGCTAATAACTCCACTATTTGGCTCTGATCATTATGTGAGACAAGTCCAAAATACTATTGCAGTGAGAAATTCTAATGTACGGGTGACACCAACCCCGGCTCCAACCTTCTAGTCAACCTTCGTCTAGAAAATGCAAACGAGATGATTATAACAGCCAAAATCTCAGTAGATCTACTCGTGCCCAGCATGAGGCTAGCTATAATATTATATTAATCATATTAGGGGGCTAGCACACCATGATTATCGACTCGCTCGTAGATTATAGATATCACGCGGAGGGTCGGGAGGGGCTGGATACGCGAGACGACTATACCTTTGTTGCCTGCAGTCTCTACAGTCAAGACGAAGTTGTACACAAACGCGTCCCTTGCTCAGTCTTGATTCAGTGCTTGTAACTACAATGGAGCCTAAAGAGGAAAGCAAAGAAAAGGTGGATTTGATGGATAAACTGCATGCTTATCTAGAAAAAAATTTTGTTGCTCTTATTGGCCAAACAGTAGAAGTAAATACATAACACGATAGTGCCTTATTATAAATGATTAAGATTTCAATAGATGAATTGGAAAATCCTCAATTTGTACCTGCACCTGGTCCTAATCCGCCAAGTAAATCATACTCATATAGTCATGTTAACAAATATAGAATACTTTTTATTTTATATTGACAGCCTATCAAGTTCCTGCAGCTCTTGCTGGGTTTTGGACTAATGAGCTGGGCTCACAGTTGTACATACATTCAACAGGTTTTTCAGAAGGGCATATTATTGGAAAGTGCTACAGCACTGTTGGTAAAGCTGGATTCAAACTATATGATTTGAATGGCTCGTATGATACAAATGGTGACGAAAAGAAGGGCACTTTGGGCTGGTAAGCAAATCATTTGAAACATGCATGTCTAATTGCAGTCTGTCATGTCACAGGACAGTTCAATGTCTTAATACTGAAGGTACTGACTCCAATAAATCTTGGTCTGGGCAGCGGTATAAAATAGAGGGAGATTTTTTCATCTACACCATGTGGATTTTGGTTGCAAAGAAAGACCTAAGTGATAATTGGGGTTCCACTCAAATTGGAAAGGACAAGTTCCACAAAGTCCGCTGATGCATGGGTTTGCTAAAGCAAACAACATTAACTTTTGAAGTATTAGATATCATTTGCTGTTTATATAGAACTAACTTAAAATTCTCTTTAGTGTAATTATTATTAAGGAGTTTTTGCTGCAGGTATTATAGTTAGTTGCTATATATAATTTAATGATTATTACTATGTATGATTATTATGCTGACATTAAGCTTTGTGTATCTAAATTAAATCATATAGATGATTAAATTTATTAAAAACAATTAATAGAGTCTAGTTCTTTTTAAGGCTACGACAGAACTTCAACAATAAAATTTAACTATTTTTCCTTTATATAGTTCTGCTAATAACTCCACTATTTGGCTCTGATCATTATGTGAGACAAGTCCACAATACTACTGCAGTGAGAAATTCTAATGTATAGGTGACACCAACCCCGGCTCCAACCTTCTAGTCAACCTTCGTCCAGAAAATGCAATTGAGATGATTATAACAGCCAAAATCTCAGTAGATCTACTCGTGCCCAGCATGAGGCTAGCTAATATATTAATCATATTAGGGGGCTAGCACACCATGATTAATCGACTCGCTCGTAGATAATAGATATCACGCGGAGGGTCGGGAGGGGCTGGATACGCGAGACGACTATATCTTTTTTGCCTGCAGTCTCTACAGTCAAAGACGAAGTTGTACACAAACGCTTCCCTTGCTCAGTCTTGATTCAGTGCTTGTAACTACGATGGAACCTAAAGAGGAAAGCAAAGAAAGGGTGGATTTGATGATGGATAAACTGCATGCTTATCTAGAAAAAAATTTTGTTGCTCTTATTGGCCGAACAGTAGAAGTAAATACAAACATAACACGATAGTGCCTTATTATAAATGATTAAGATTTCAATAGATGAATTGGAAAATCCTCAATTTGTACCTGCACCTGGTCCTAATCCGCCAAGTAAATCATACTCATATAGTCATGTTAACAAATAGAATACTTTTTATTTTATATTGACAGCCTATAAAGTTCCTGCAACTCTTGCTGGGTTTTGGATTAATGATTTGCGTTCACAGATGTACATACATTCAGCAAGCTTTTCAGAAGGGCATATTATTGGAAAGTATTACAGCCCTGTTGGAAAAGCTGGATTCAAACTATATGATTTGAATGGCTCGTATGATACAAATGGTGATGAAAAGAAGGGTACTTTGGGCTGGTAAGCAAATCATTTAAAACATGCATGTCTAATTGCAGTCGGTCATGTCATAGGACAGTTCAATGGCTTAAAACTGAAAATAACTCCAATACATCTTGGTCTGGGCAGCGGTATGAAAAAGAGGGAGATTTTTTCATCTACACCACGTGGATTTTGGTTGCACAGAAAGACCTAAGTGATAGTTGGGGTTCCACTCGCATTGGGATGGACAAGTTCCGCAAAGTCTGCTGATTCATGGGTTTGCTAAGCAACCATCAGTAGTTTTTGAAGTAGATATTATGTGCTGTTTATATGCTGCTATAACTTCAAATTTTCATTAGTATTATTAAGGACTTTGTGCTGCTAACATTATAGTTTTGTTATTGCTACTATATATAATTTAATGATTATTAGTAAGTATGATTATTATGCTGACATTAAGCTTTGTGTATCTAAATAAAATTTATTAAAAACAATAGTGTCTAGTTCTTTTTAAGGCTATAAAAGAGCTTCAATAATACTGAAAATTTAATAATTTTTTCCCTGCTAATAACTCCACTATTCATCCACTCTGATCATTATGTGAGACAAGTCCAAAAAATTTTTATGAGAAATTCTTTTAATGTAGCACCAACCCTCCAACCTTCTAGTCAACGTTCACTCCAGTCCAGAAAATGTAAATGAGATGATTTTATAACAGCCAAAATCTCAGTAGAAAATTCTACTCTTGCCCAGCACGAAGCTATCTAATAATTATATCTGTAATCATATTATGGGGCTAGCAGTCTAGCACACCCATGATTAATCTATAGATCATGCATATGCACGCGCGGGCGCCGACGCGGATAGTCAGCCCCTCCCATCTATGATCTGATCGATCGATAATAGAGCTAGAGAATGCAAAAATTAATTAAAGGCGAGGAGTGGGTGGAGCATACACGCCCATTCATTAAAATCGAAAATTGTATACTTACCCACGTGTAATCATCACGTGTGGATAAGTACCAATAAGGATAGCTCTAAAATCAGGACAGTAGCATCAGCCCCACAATAAAAATTTATATTACTGGACCTCTGAAATAGGGATGCTTCCATAATCAGGACTATGATTGAGTCCCAAGGTGTCTGGAATAGACAGGTTTAAATGTAGTTTAATAAGTAAGCTTTTCAGGGGCGTAGCTGGGAAGGAAATGATGACTGAGGGGCCCAGAGATAAATGGTGTGAAGCGCATCGAAAATTTGGCCACATCCCTTTTTAGCGCTCACATAGTGCACTAAAATAGCATTTTGCATATTTTAAAGCATCAAAATCTTACATTTTCAACAATGATTAATATAAAATGAATGTTTTGTTTCTGCCTACTTTTCATTTCTTGTACATTTACTGCTGTGCAATGTATTGTACATGATTACAAGGTGGTTAATTTATATTACTAGGTGGTAGGTAATAAAACAAACAATGAATATTATTATCTACAACAATTGATGGGGGGCCCAGGCCCCTGTAGGCCCCCCTCAGATACGCCCCTGAAGCTTTTCTGCTAACTCAACTAAATTTGTCTAATACTGTAATTAACTGTATATTTACATGCATAATCTAATCTTTCATTATGCTCAGACTAGCATTGTGATTGTAGAGTCAGCAACCTACTATCGCACACCATCGATATTCGAACACTTTTCTCACAGTTTGCTGATCAGAAGCCAGTGGCTATAATTTTATCTTGTAGATCAGATGTTCCTCTACAGCTGTAGCAACT